TATCTGCTGATTCACTCCCACAAATGGTCCCAACAGCCAAGTCTAGGGCTAAGGCAAAACCAGGAGTCTAGAACTCTATCCAGGTCTCCAGTGTGGGTGGCAGGGACCTAGATTCTTGGGTCATCATCTGCTTTCCCAAGGGCATTAGCAGGGAGCTGCATCAGAAGCAGAACAGCCAGGACTCAAACTAGCCTTCCAATAGGGGATGCTGGTACACAAGTTGCAGCTTAACCTGTTAGGCCTCAGTGCTGGCCCTAGGTTTTAAAAATTTTGATGAGGTTTAACTTGTCTGCTTTTTCTTTTGTTGCTGATGCTTTGAGTGCATGTCTAGAAATCCATTGTTTAATTCAAGGCCATGAATTTTTTTTGAAGATTTTTAAATTTATTTGAAAGCAGAGTTACAGAGAGAGGAAGAGGCAAAGAAAGGGAGGGAGAGAGAGATATTCCATCTAGTGGTTCACTCCCTGAATGGTCATATCAGCTGGAGAGCTTCTTCTGGATCTCCAATGTGGGTGCAGGGACCCAAGCATTTAGACCATATTTTGCTAGTCTTCCAGATGTATTAGCAGGGAGCTGGATCTTAAGTGGAGCTGCTGTGTCGTGAACTGTTGCCCATATGGGATGCTGGCCTCACAGGCAGAGGTGTAACCTGCTATATGCCACAATCCAAGCCCCAAGGCCATGAATATTTATTCCTGTTTTTGTTTTTTCACAGGCAGAGTTAGACAGTGAGAGAGAGAGAGAGAGAGAGAGAGAGAGAGAGAGAGAGAGAGAAAGGTCTTCCTTCCGTTGGTTCACTCCCCAAAGGGCCGCCACGGCCAGCACTGCACTGATTTGAAGCCAGGAGCCAGGCGCTTCCGCGTGGGCGCAGGGCCCAAGCACTTGGGCCATCCTCCACTGCCCTCCCGGGCCACAGCAGAGAGCTGGACTGGAAGAGGAGCAACCGGGACAGAATCTGGCGCCTCAACCAGGACTAGAACCCAGGGTGCCGGCGCCGCAGGTGGAGGATTAGCCTAGTGAGCTGCAGCGTCGGCATATATACCTGTTTTAACTGTTTTATAGTTCTAGCTATTAAATTTATGTCTTGATTTATTTTGAATTAGTTTTTGTGTATGGTATGAGGGAAATGCCCAATTTTATCTTTTACATTTTGATATCTGATTGTCCAAATACTAGTGTGTTAGAAAGAGTATTCTTTCGCCAGTGAAAAGTCTTGGTATCCTTGTTGAAAATCAGATAGATGTGTTTGCTTTTTCTAGAACTTCCTGTACAATGCTGAATATAAATGATAAGGGCAGTTGTCTTCCCAAGACCTCATAAAGCTCTTCATCTTTGACCATTAAATTTAATAAGAGTTTTGCTTTTATTGGTCAGGTTGAGTTAGTTGTATGTTGAGTTTTTCGGTTTGTTTTGTTATTTTTTAAAAATAAATTCCTGGGTTTATTATCCTTGTTAGAATCTAGGAGACACTTTGATCTCTCCACTAGGTTTTATTGAAAAACTATAGTTTTAACTTTCCTTTTTTTTCCATAGCATGGAGTAGTGATAGCTGGTGTGTTGTATCTGGGAAATCTATCTATATTGCAACCAGAATCTCAAATCCAATATGTATATATAATATATCTACTAAGAGGAATATTCTAAAATATTTAAAATAAAGTAATATTTTAAATATTTAAAGTAAATATTTAAAATATTTAAAAATATTTAAATATTTTATTAATTTTTATTAAATATTTTAAATAAAGTAAGCTTTATGATTTAGTGTTAGTAATCTTTCATACATAATTTTCTTTGCCACCAATGTCTAGAGTGTCCGGCTTTAAGTACTTCTAAATTTATTGGCAGGGATCTTTTGAACAGAACTCAGTTTTCCACTATATGTTTTCCTTTTTGCCTAATTTGTCTTCTTCGATTTGGAGCAAATTGGTGGTAATGAAGAATCCCATAAATGACAACTGAGTGTATGAAGACTTGGGTTCTAGTGTAACACGAGTCTGAATTGATAGAAGCAAAATGTCAGAGATAGTTTTGAGTGTCAGATTCTTAAGGTTGAGGTGAGTTCTGAAATTGGGAGGGTATTAGATCAGAATCCTGGAAAATTGGGAGCATGTGTTAGGATTGGAACAGTGTTTAGAGCAGCCCACATTTGTTAGAAATGTTCCCTTTTGAAATCAGCTTTTGGTGATAACAGTCGCTTCATTTTCTCCTGGTTTCACTGAGTCTGGTATTTGGGACAGGCATGCATGGGCAATTTCAACCATTTTATTTATTTGAACAACAGAGTGACAGAGAGAAGGAGACCGACAGAATTTTTTGTCAATATTTCTCTCTAATATATTTATGGTTTTTGACTTTTTAGATACACCAGTAGGTGGCAATGTAACATACCAAGAACGAACTTATATTTAAATAGTATGTAACAAAACCTTTACCTGGCCTTTTCTCCCTAACCTTCCAATTGTTTTTGAAAACATACTCAGAATTTGTCTTCCTCTAATTAAAATATTTGATGGATTTGAGAGAGGAGAGAGAGACAGAGAGAGAGAGACAGAGGGAGATATTGCATCTATTGGTTTACTCCCCAGATGCCTGTAACAGCTGGGGCTATGCCAGGCTGAATCTAGGAACTCAGAGATGGACAGTTTTGGTCTTAAATTTGGATTCCAGGGACCCAACTACTTGAGCTATCACTTGCTGCTTCCCAGGGCATGTGTTAGCAAGAAACTGGAATTGGGAGTGGAGCCAGGATTCAAACTCACTCTAATGTGGGATGCAAGCATCCCAAGTGATATCTTAACCATTATGCCAAATACTCACCCCTGACACTCATGTTTTCCTGTTCAATGTACTTAAACTGGTCTAGTAGAGTTTTCTATTCACATTAGTGTATTTAGATTTTTGGCTTCAGAGGATATAATCAATGTATATGTGCGTATACAATAATAATTCAAGGTTACTGTATGATTTCAGCAGTAAAATAGATCTAACAATGTAATTTCATAAAATATAGATTTCTGTAGTGTATTCAACCATCTTCAGTTAATAATATCTTTCCAATAGCCTTGAATTTTTGAACTTTTGAAATGTTTGTGAAGCCTTTCCTAAATCCCTTTTTTTCTGCTCTTCAGTACCTCAGGGATGTTATTCTTGTACTTTTCATAAAATGATTTATCAGTGTGGGTGTTTGTTTATTATTTTTATTGTATTTGAAAGGCAGAGATATGGATAGAAAATCTTTCTGCCGGTTCCCTTCCCAGATACCTACAAAGGTTGGGACTGGGCTAGGTGAAGCCGCTAGCAAGGAACTCAATCTGGGTCTCCCACCTGAGTGGTAAAGACCTAAGTATTTGAGTGATTATCTGCTTCCATCCAGGGTGCACATGAGTAAGAAGCCAGGATTAGAAGCAGAGCCAGGACTCAAGCACAAGCACTTATGGGATGTGGGTATCACAAGTGACTTCCCAGCTGTTACACCAAATGCCTCACCTATGTAGGTATTTTAAAATTCTACTCCCTCATTCATATATTATTTCAGAATGAGGTTTTTTAGAAAATTTATTTTCAAGGTAACTAAAATATATCCCTTTTATATATTAAAAGGTTTCTACATTTAGATATTTTGTTAGAAAATGTTGTGTATATTCTTACTAGTAAATGGAATATGAATAACATAATTTAACTTTTTTATGTTAACAGGGTTATAGACAAGTATATTTATTTTTATTCATTCTTTCTTTTGTTGCTCTGGGATCCTTACAGTGGATGAATAGGACTTTCTATTCCTCCATTGCCATATTAAGAAATAGTTCTTTTATGTTAAAGAAATAATAAAAGTAATTTCTGTTATTAAGGAAAATACCAACAGTAGAAAAAGGTGTATCTTGAAATACATGTTCCCTTCCTCCTTGTCTCATTTTGTTTCATGTATAACGCTCTAGAGATTCTTTTCCCTTTCTGAAGCTGGTATTTTATTTTTTGAGTCTCACTTATTTATTCAAAAGGCAGAGCAAAAGAGGGAGAATGATCTTCCATCGGCTGGTTTACTCCCCAAATGGCTGCAACAGCTGGGTCTGGGCCAGGTTGAAGCCAAGAGCCCGGAATTCATTCTGATTTCCCACATTAGTGGCAAAGGCCTAAGCACTTACCCCATCTCATGCTGCCTTCCCAGGCACATAAGCATGGAGCTGGATCAGAAGCAGAGCAGCTGGGACTTGGAATTGGCAATCCCTTATGGGGTGGTGGCATTGCAAGTGGTGGCTCAACCTTCTGCACTGCCAGTCCTAGAAATTTGCATATTACATTGCAATGTTTAAATGGTTCTTAATTAATATCAGGTTCAATAATTCAGAAGAAAGACTCACAGAACTCAGAACTCACAGTTTATTACAGTGAAAGGATAGAAATTAAAACCAGAAGCAGGGAAATGCAGAAAGGCAGGATCCAGGAGCATTCCAAGTCATATCTTAACTACTACACCAAATGCCTGCCACTACAATTGTATTTCAGCTATAATACCGAAGAAGTTATTTTTGAAGGAGACTTTTGAAGTAGAAGATGAATTTTATCTAATATTTAATAAATGGGATGTAGTTCGACCACTGCTATTATTGAATAATGTGACTTTTAAATTTTGTTCTATGTATATTCCTGTTAATCTTTGCTAATAGTTTTAACCTGATCCCCAATGCCAAGTATTATCTTCGGAGACTATTTTTAGCGTTAAAATATGTTTGCTATTTTAAAATATCACAAATCTGTTGAAGATCTTTTTCCACATTGTGGTTATTATTATTCTTTCTTGTTTTGAATACTCACTCACTAGGCCTTAAGTACTATTTGTAGGAATACTTTAATACTCTACTTTTGGCATATAATTAATATTAATATTGCTATGATTTTATTTTATCTTCCTTTAAGATCTGTACTATTAAAAGATTACTTAATTGGATGAGATTTTCAGTTTTATATTTTAATTGTTTTTTTCATATAATTTTTAGGCCCTGACTTTGTTGTTTGTGATGAAGGCCATATTCTAAAAAATGAAGCTTCTGCTGTTTCAAAAGCTATGAATTCTATACGATCAAGGAGGAGAATTATTTTAACAGGAACACCACTTCAAAATAACCTAATTGAATGTGAGTTTATATCTGTGATGATGCTGTAGCATATTGGTATTGTTTTGGATATATATATTTACCTCTTTGCCGTTGGCTTTTCTACTTAGTCTACTGTGAAAAAACATTCTTTTCAGGTTGAGATGCTTTAAAAATATGACTAGTAAACTTCAGTCAAATAGTGTGCCATTGTGAGTGTTGGCATATAAATACAGAATTCAGAATACCATTAAAGCATCAAAGAGTATCAAGATTTTTATTTTTTAAAGATATTTTCTTCTTTGAGAGTCAAAGTTACCTAGAGAGGGGTATCTAGAGAGAGAGAGACAAAGATCTTTCATCTGCTGTTTCACTTCCCAAATGGTCGCAGCCCTCAGGGCTGGGCCAGGCCAAAGTCAGCATCCCGGAGCTAGAAGCCCGGAGCTTCTTCCTAGTCTCCCATGTGGGTGGCAGCACCCAAGTACCTGAGTCATTCTGCTGCTTTCCCAGGCACATTAGCAGGAAGCTGGATTGGAAGTGGAGCAACAGGGACATGAACTGGTGTTCATATGTGATGCTGGCATCCTAGGTGGTGGTTTTACCTGCTATGCCACGACACCAGCCCCTTAATGATTTTTTAAAAAGTACAAATGCGTATGTGAGCTCAGGAGATACTATAAGGACAAATATCTATTTTGCAATGCGAAATGTGAACAGTGCAGAAAAGTGGATATGGGAGAAGAACTGTGCTGAATCCATAGTAGGAGAGTTTGATGCTGAAGACAGATTTTTGGAACTCAGGAAGTGACTGGTTAATTTCCTTCATTTTCATACATGTATGCTAATACTGAAGATGGGAATATAAGATTATTCATCAAATATGCAAATTGAAATTTCCCTATATAATATCCCACATTTTTCTGTTTCCCATTGTAATAGCCGTTTGATATTTTTAAGTTATTGTATTCTTTTTTTATAAAGAAAAATCTTATGGGACCAGTGCTGTGGTGCAGTAGGTTAATTTTTCACCTTCAGTGCTGGCATCCCATATGGGCACCATTGCGAGTCTTGGGGCTGCTCCTCTTCCGAACCAGCTCTCTGCTATGGCGTGGGAAAGCAGCAGAAGGTAGACCAAGTACTTGGACACCTGTACCCTCATGGAAGACCTGGAAGAAGCTTCTGCCTCCTGGCTTCGGATTAGCCCATCTCCAGCCGTTGCAGCCATTTGGAGAGTGAACCAGTGGTTGGAAAACCTCTTTCTCTGTCTCTCCCTCTCACTGTCTGTAACTCTACCTCTCAAATAAATAAATATATAAAATCTTTAAAAAATTAAAGAAGAAAAATCTTTTATTTAATTAATTTGTTTTAAAGACTTATTTACTTATTTGAATGTCAGAATTATAGAGAAAAAGAGAAAGAAAGTGTGATCCTCCATCTGCTGGTTTACTGTCCAAATGGTTGCATCTGCTAGGGCTGAACCAGGCCAGAGCCAGGATCCAGGAGTTGATTCTGGGTCTCCCACATGCGTAGCCAAGTACTTGGGCCTTCCTCTACTACTTTCCCAGGCACATTAGCAGGGAGTTAGACAGGAAGCAGAGCAGCCAGGTACAAACCTGTGCCCATTTTGGATGCTGGCACTGTAGCCTGTGGCTGTACCTGGTACGCCACAATGCTGGCCCCTCAAGTTTGCAATTTCAAAAATTCTTTTTGGGACGAGTTCTATCTTTTCTAATGGGGTAGTCTTAGACTAAATAAAAACCATGGTTAGAGCCACAGTTTACTTGTCTTATATATGTTATAATGAATAATGAGAACAAATACTACATGTTCTTCCTTCCATGTGGAAGCTAAAAAAAATGTAAAAACAGTAATAAAAAGAATTGTCTGTCTGTATCAGTATTGCTACAAAAATAGTTTTGTCAAATGTTGTTTTATATGTTTGCCAAATAGGTAAGAATGGTACACTACTATAGTTTCAATGACCTATGTTGATTTTAAAATTTACTGTCTGAGTGTATGGTAATCATTTCATTGTTTATAACCTTTGCCTTATTCCTGCTGAACTATGATCTTTTTACTTTTTACTTGTTGAATTCTTTACTTAATATAGTATTAAGCTTTTGACTATATAGTAAATTAAAAATATGTTATTTAAAAAATTAAGAGAGGGAGGAGAGAAGGAAAGTATCATTATATTCTTAGAAATGTCTATGAACTACATTGAATGTGTGTTCTTTGTATTAATATCACATTATTAATTGATAAAACTTTTGTAGTTATTATCATGCATTTGTTATGACCCTGAGAATCTCATGTATCAATAAATTTCTTTAAAATATAAAAATTAAGAATAAAGTTTCCTTAGTTTTTTTTTTAAATTAGTGTATAGTATTTAGGGATGATTTTTATTTCAAATTTTTATCTGATTTAGGTAATCCAGTTCTATAGTTGTTTTATAGCTAATATTTATGCTATATTTAATTTGATATTTGTTTCTTTGTAGTTTAATTCTAATGCTTTTATTTCATGTATTATTGACATGAGCAATTCATCTAGGAGTTTTTGTGAGTCTTTTTAACCATTGTTAATATTGTTAATTAATATCTTCTTTCTTAGATCACTGTATGGTTAACTTTATCAAGGAAAATTTGCTTGGATCCATTAAGGAGTTCAGGAATAGATTCATAAATCCAATTCAGAATGGTCAGTGTGCCGATTCCACCATGGTAGATGTCAGAGTGATGAAAAAACGTGCTCATATTCTCTATGAGATGTTAGCTGGATGTGTTCAGGTACAAATATTTTCCATAATAATAAAAAATGTTATTTTCTTAAATTGGAATCTGATAATGTTTTCTGACTTTAAACCTTTTTTATGTTTTTTTTTTTCTTCCTTTGTCAGTGTTTAGTTTTGAATAGTTTGCAACATTCAACTTTTTAAAAACTTTTCTGGGATGGTCATTTGACCTAGCTATCAAGGTGACTATGTCACCGGCGCCATGGCTCAATAGGCTAATCTTCCGCCTGTGGCGCCGGCACTCCAGGTTCTAGTCCCGGTTGCTCCTCTTCCAGTCCAGATCTCTGCTATGGCCCGGGAGTGAAGTGGAGGATGGCCCAAGTGCTTGGGCCCTGCAACCGCGTGGGAGACCAGGAGAAGCACCTGGCTCCTGGCTTCGGATCAGCGCGGTGTGCGGGCTGCATCGCGCTGACCACAGTGGCCATTAGGAGGTGAACCAAGAGAAAAGGAAGACCTTTCTCTCTCTCTCTCTCTCTCTCTGTCCACTCTGCCTGTCAAAAAAAAAAAAAAAAAAAAAAAAAAAACAGTACTTGGTTTTAGAACCCAACTCCAGCTTCTTCTGATGCAGACCATGGGAGGTAGCAATGATGGTTCAAGTATTTGGGTTTCTGCCACCCATGTGGGTGATCTGGATTGAGTTCCCAGCTTTCATTTCCCAACTTTCGCCCAGCCCAGCCCAATCCTGACTGTTATGCATATTTGGGAAATGAGCGAGATTAGGGGAACTGTTTCTCTGTCTCTATGAAATAAATAAGAATTTAAGAAATAGATTTTAAAAATTTCTAAGTTTCAGTGTGAAGTTTAGAATGTAGTTGATTATTTGTTAAGTATAAAGCCTCCTACATTACTACATTAATGTTATTCTTCATTGAGTTCTTAAGAGGATCACAGTTGTCATGATTAAGAAATTCCTACACTTACCCTAATTTTATTGGGTAGTATTCTAAGGCTCCCTTGTTTGAAATTGTTTTGCGAAATGAGTATGATTTAAGAAAGAGTCAGTTTTTAAAGCCTGAAGGAACAGTTTTATTAGTTTGAAATATATCTGTAGTCTGAAGAGGTTATTAGTGCTGTTTGTATACAGATCCTTAATGAAGTATATGAGTGAATGAATATATAGACACTTGGCCAGGAATTTTTTTTAAAGATTTATTTATTTATTTGAAAGTCAGAGTTACTACACAGAGAGAGAAGAAGGGGCAGAGAGAGAGTTCCCCCATCCACTGGTTCACTCTACACTTCTCAGCAAAGGCTGGAGCTGTGCAGATCTGAAGCCAGGAGCCAGGAGCTTCTTCCGTTTCTCCCACATTAGCACAGGGACCGAAGGACTTGGGCCATCATCTAATGCTTTCCCAGCCCACAGCAGAGAGCTGGATCAGAAGTGGAGGAGCCGCATCTCGAACTTGCGTCCACATGGGATGCTGGCGCTGCAGGCAGTGGCCCCACCCACCAAACCAGAACGCTGGCCCTCAGCAATTAATAGATCTTAAGATCAGTACTTTGTTTAAAGATGTTAGATACCAAGATAGGCACAAATTTATTATAACAAATGAGATAGACTCTTATTTTGGTTGGATAAGACATAGTCATCATTTTTTGTTAGATGTGCTACATACCCCTGTAAAAAATCTGTTTCTATATTGTACTAGTATATAGGCAGCGTTTTTCTGGTTTAAGTAGTCATTTATATCTGCACATTAGTGTTCTGTTTTTTTTTTTTTTGAGGAAGTGAGGATGTCTTCTTCATACCTCCATAATAAAATAGTTTCAAGAGTGCTTATACATGGCTGGTGTTTTCAATTGTGCCAACGCCACCTTGGTAGTTCTATGCTGTTTGGCACATTCGCATATCTTACCCAGAGGACATCTTAAGCTGTGTTAGTCTTTGATTCATAGGTTTTATTATGTGATTCAGGCAAGCCATCTTGTTAGCACTGCCTACTGTGTTCGCTCCTCATTGTTTGCTATTTTCTTATTTGTATGCAGAGAATACCATCCTGAAATATTTTCTTTAAAAGATTTATTTATTTATTTGAAAGGCAGAGAGAGAGAGAGAGAGAGAGAGATATCTTCCATCTGTAGGTTCACTCCCCAAATGGTTGCAACAGCTGGAGCTGGGCCACTCCAAAACCAGGAGCCTGGAGGTTCTTTCAGGTCTTCCACATGGGTACCAAGGCCCAAGGATTTCGTCCATCCTCCACTGCTTTCCCAGGCCATACCAGAGAGCTGGATTGGAAATGGAGCATCCAGGACTTGACCGGTGCCTATATAGAGGTCTGCACTGCAGGTGGCAATTTTACCTGTTATGCCACAGCTCTGGGCCCCATCTTGAAATCTTAAATTGTTCGCTTTATGCTGGTGTATTGGAATTTTTTTTTTTTTTTTTTTTTTTTTTTTTTTTTTTTTTGCCAGTATACTAGTGTGCAGTCATATGAAAGGCACTGATAACAATCAATTGTGGATAATTGTGTGTTTAGGGTAAATGTATTTAAGAAAATGTTTTCTTGTACTTTGCGTACCTATTTAAATGTGTATTTTAATTATCCACAATGACAATGTTTAGAGCAGTTCATTCCTGTCATATATTTAGATGAACTGATTTTCTTTTTTTCTTATTAATTACAGAGGAAAGATTATACAGCATTAACAAAGTTCCTGCCTCCAAAACATGAATATGTGTTAGCTGTGAGAATGACTCCTATTCAATGCAAGCTCTATCAGTACTACTTAGATCACTTAACAGGTAACCAATATAATTAGTTTGTTGTTTTCTCTTTTCTTTATAGACATTTTTTATGAAGCATTTGTTCTTGAATCTTATCATGTTTGTTCTTTTTTCCACTTGAATAGAATAGGTATTCTTAAAAGCACAAAGTAGTTCTGTTAAAGAAGAATCAGTAGTATGAGGATACTTCAGCAAGTTTGTGGGAAATGTAAATAAAAGATAAGTTTATTTTGGTTTAAACATTTTTTCTATCCATGTATACAAAAATTTTTCAAAATTCATGAAAAACATGTTATGAAAAAATTATGCGCCACAATAATTTTATTGTAATTGTTTTCCACAACCACTTTGAAGTACCCTGACACTGTTGAAACCAAACTCAAGAAATAAACTGATGAAAAAACATACACAGTATATAGGAACAATTCCCTTAATTTATGAAAAAGTTTTATTTTAGGAAATCAGTAGAAGAAGATGCATAGAATTTTGAGTATTTTCTTTTATTTTTTAAATTTTATTTAAATTATACAAGTTTCATGTATTTTGTATATTCAAATTTAGAAACATAATTATACTTCCCACTTTATCCTCCCTCCTGCCCAAGCTGCAACCCCTCTTCCTCCTCCTCCTTCCTTTCCCACTCTTAATTTTTACTGAGATCTACTTTTGGTTTACTTAATGATCGTCAAGTTGACCCTACAGTAAGTAAAAGAGTTCAACAAAAGAAGCATTGTTCTTCAATGGAAGAGACAAGGACTATTAAACAATCATTGTATCTCAAAATGTCCATTTCATTCCAAAACATTTTATGTACAGAGTGTTTTCCAAAAATGCTCAGCCACATTAATAATAAAAGACATGCAAATTAAGTCCATGTCATTGTTTTTCAGTTTTCAAGTTAACAATGGTTGAAGGTAAAACAAGGCAAAATGCAAGGCAGGGAATGTAGTATACTCTCCATGTTATGATAAAAATCTACACAAATGCTTAAAGTTCACCAAATCGTTTTCTGGGTGGTTTTGCTAAGTAGACTTTCATTTTTTGTGTTTTTTTTTTTTGTGTACTTTCTAAAAATACACCAAATAGTTATTTTTTGGTTATCAGTAAACTTGCATGTGTGTCCCATTGTCTGCCTGAGGTTGTCCCTCTTCACACAACCAAACCAAGCCTGTGGTCTGGAGCGATTTATTTTTATTAAGATTTATTTATTTGAAAGGCAGAGAGAGACAGAGAGAGATGGGGAGGGAGAGATATGGATCTTTCATCCGCTGTTTATTCCCTAAATGCCTGTTGGCCGATTCGAAGCCAGGAGCCAGGCGCTTCTTCTGGGTCTCCTATGCAGGTGCAGGGGCCCAAGCACTTCGGCCTTCTTCTACTGCTTTCTTAGACTATAGGATTGGAAGTGGAGCAGCTAGGTCTCAAACTGGTGCCCATATGGGATACTGTGACAGCAGGCCGCAGCCTCACCCTCTACACCACAGTCCCAAACCCTGAAGTGACATTTCTTACTTGTTGGTTATTTATTATAGTACATTTCCCAAAATGATGTGCTAGGTTTGGTTGCAGGTTTGGGAAACCTTTCATCTGCCTATTTGGATATTCATTACATCATTTGTGGGCCTTACGAAATTATCAACTTAAAATTAGCCTGTTATGTGATTGCCTTGGCAGATTCCAGACCAAATGATCTTACATGGCCCGAAGGCCTGCTATTCTATACTCCTAGTTTAGGAGATAGGATTTAGAAGGTGTCTTCTCTATGTGAATTTTCACGCTTTTCTATGACATTTCTTTAAATATGGTAAACGGTTATAGTCTGTGTCTGGTCATTCCAGTATCTGAAATCCAAATTGTTCTCTTTTGTCTCTTTTATGTTTTTGTTGTATTTTAGGCATGCCACCTTGGTTCCTTGTGTGTTCTTTTTCATTTATTGTTATACTTTTGTTTTATGTAATATTTCTTTTTTTTTTTTTTGACAGGCATAGTTAGTGAGTGAGAGATAGAGAGAGAGGTCTTCCTTCTGTTGGTTAACCCCCCAAATGGCCACCACGGCCAGCGCGCTGCGCTGATCTGAAGCCAGGAGCCAGGTGCTTCCTCCTGGTCTCCCATGCGAGTATAGGGCCCAAGCACTTGGGCCATCCTCCACTGCCTTCCCGGGCCACAGCAGACAGCTGGACTGGAAGAGGAACAACAGGGCCAGAATCTGGCGCTGCAACTGGGACTAGAAGCCCGGGTATCGGTGCCGCAGGTGGAGGATTAGCCAAGTGAGCCGCAACACCGGCCTTGTTTTATGCATTATTTCTAACGTGTTTTTTTTTTTTTTTAACATTTCTTTCTTTATTTATTTGAAAGTCAGAGTTACACAGAGCGAGGAGAGGCAGAGAGAGAGGTCTTCCGACCACTGGTTCACTCCCCAATTGGCCACAATAGCCGGAACTGTACCGATCCTAAGGCAGGAGCCAGGAGCCTCCTCTGGGTCTCCCACGTGGGTGCAGGGGCCCAAGGACTTGGACCATCTTCCACTGCTTTCCCAGGCCATAGCAGAGAGCTGGAATGGAAGTGGAGCAACCGGGTGTTGAACCAGCGCCCACATGGGATGCGGGTGCTTCAGGCCAGATCATTAACCTGCTGCGCCACAGCGCCAGCCCCTCTAACATGTGTTTTTAAAAGGACTTGGGCTATATTCTACTGCTTTCCCAGGCCATTGCAGAGAGCTGGATCGGAAGTGGAGCAGCCAGGACTCAAACCGGTGCCCATATGGGATGCTGACACTGTAGGCAGTGGCATTACTCCCTATACCTCAGTGCTGGCTCCCGTCAAGGAGTTTTACAGTTTCATGTCTTTGTAATACATTTTGAGTTGATTTTTGATTACAGATCCTTATCTGTAATTTAAGATACGGATCCAGTTTTTTCTTTCATGTGGCTCTCCAGTTTCCCTGGCTTCATTTACTGAAGAGACATTTTTTTCTTCATGGTGAATTTGTTAAGCATTAGTTGATTGAATACATTTGGGTTTATTTCTGGGATCTCTTCTGTTTCATTCTGTCTGTAATGGCAGCACCACACTGTTTTGATTACTATTGCTTTGCAATATACGTTGAAATAGGAAAATGTTATGTCTTCAAATTTTTCATAAATTTTACTTGCTACTAGAGATCTTTTGTGGTTTCATATTAGTTTTACAATTCTTCTTCCCATCCCCAAGAAGAATGCCACTGGACTTTTTATAAGGATTTTATTGAATGTATATATTATTTGGGCTAGTGTAGACATACTAATAATATTAATTTTGCTAATCCAAAGAACAGGGTACCATTTCATTTATTTGTATCTTTAGTACTTTTCTATTTTTTATTTTTTATTTTTTTTGAGAGGCAGAGTGGACAGTGAGAGAGAGAGAGAGAGAGGTCTTCCTTTGCCGTTGGTTCACCCTCCAATGGCCGCCGCGGCTGGCGCACTGCGCTGATCCAAAGCCAGGAGCCAGGTGCTTCTCCTGGTCTCCCATGGGGTGCAGGGCCCAAGGACGTGGGCCATCCTCCACTGCACTCCCTGGCCACAGCAGAGAGCTGGCCTGGAAGAGGGGCAACCAGGATGGAATCCGGCGCCCCTACCGGGACTAGAACCCGGTGTGCCAGCACCACAAGGTGGAGGATTAGCCTAGTGAGCCGCGGCGCCGGCCCTCTTTAGTACTTTTCATCATTTTTAAGTGAACAGATCTTTCATGTCATTGGTTAAATTTGTTTGTAAGTATTTTCTTTTCATGCTGTAATAAATGAAATTTGTTTTGGATAAGATGTTATTGATGTAAAGAAGTCACAATGATTTTCCTTTTTTGGTTTTTGTTCTGTAACTTTACTGAATTCATTTATTAGTTTTAATAGTTTTTTAGTAGAATTCCATTTTTACTTAAAGATTTTATATATTTGAGATGTAGAATTACAGACAGACAGAGGGAGACACCGAGAGGAAGGTCTTCCATCCACTTGTTCATTCCCCAAATGACTGCATCAGCCGGAGCTGGGCCGATCCAAAGGCAGGAGCTGGGAGCTTCTTCCAGGTGTCCCGTTCAGGTGCTGGGACCTAAGGACTTAGGCTATGTTCTGCTGCTTTCCCAGGCCACAGCAGAGAGCTGGATTGGAAGTGGAGCAGCCAGGACATGAACTGGCACCTATATACGATGCTGCTGCCACAGGCAGAAGCTTAGCCTACTACACTGCAGTGATGGCCCATAGTGTGTGTGTTTTTTTTTTTTTTTTTGCATATAGGATCATGTCCTGTGCAAAAAGGGATAATTTTACTTCTTCTTTTCTAATTTGATTTGATTTCCCCTGTTAATTTTTCCTTTATCTAATTGCTCTTACTAGTGCTTGTAGTATTGTTTTATTTAAATTTTTTTACGGATTTATTTATTTATTTGAAAGAGCTACACACAGAAAGAAGGAGAGGCAGAGAGAGACAGAGAAAGTTCTTCCATCTGCTGGAAGACCAGTCACGCGCAACAGCTGGAGCTGCGCCGATTCTAAGCCAGGAGCTTCTTCCGGGTCTGCCACGCAGGTACAGAAGCCCAAGAACTTGGGCCATGTTCTGCTGCTTTCCCAGGCCATAGCAGAGAGTTGGATAGAAGTGGAGCAGCCGGAACTTGTACTGGCGCCCATGTCGGATGCCAGTACTGAAGGCAACAGCTTAATCCACTGTGCTACAGTGCCAGCCCTAGTACTGTTTTAAATAGAAGTGATTAGTGTCCTCACTCTTCTTTTGTTCCAGATATTAGAATGCTTTCAGTTTTTCCCTGTTGATTATGTTTTAACTGTTTTGCTCTCATAAATGGCTTTTAGTCTGGCGCCCGTGGCTCACTTGGCTAATCCTCCACCTGCGGCGCCGGCACCCTGGGTTCTAGTCCTGGTTGGCACGCCGGGTACTAGTCCCGGTCACTCCTCTTCCAGTCCAGCTCTCTGCTTTGGCCTGGGAAGGTAGTGGAGGGATGGCCCAGGTGCTTGGGTCCCTGCACCCACATGGGAGACCGGGAGGAAGTACCGGCTCCTGGCTTTGGATTGGCGCAGTGCTGGCCATAGTGGCCATTAGGGAAATGAACCAACGGTCTACAAATTTCTCTCTGTCTCTCTCTCACTGTCTAACTCTGCCTGGCAATATATATAAAAAAGTCGCTTTTATTCTACTGAAGAAATTTCTTTACCTGTTTATTTTTTTATCATGAAATCTTTATGTGATTTTTATTATTTCATTTGATTAGTGTGATATATATCATTATTGCATATGCCATACCAGTCTTTTATCCTAGGATTAAATCCTCCTTGGTCATGGTGTGTAAACTCTTTGATGTGTTCCATTAGATTTACTAGTAATTTATTGAGGACTTTTTTGTATGTAACATTGGTTTATGGTTTTCTTGCAGTATATTTGTTCAGCTTTTGTGTCAGGGTAATGCTGGCCTCGTAAAATGAGTTTGGAAATATTTCTTCTAATACCTTTTTTTGTTAAAGATTTATTAATTTATTTGAAAGTCAGAGTTATGGAGAGAGAGAGAGAGAGAGAGAGAGAGAGAGAGAGAGAGAGAGACCCCAATCGATTGCTCCGAATCCAGGAACCAGGAGCCTCCTCTGGGTCTCCCCCACGGGTACAGCGTTCCAATGACTTGGGCCATCTTGTACTGCTTTCCCAGACCATAGCAGAGAGCTGGATCGGAAGTGGAGCAGTCGGGACTTGAACTGGTGCCCATATGGGATGCTGGCAACTGCAGGCTGTGGCTTCCCTTGGTAAGCCACAGTGCCGGCCCCTCCCTCTAATTCAAGTTTTAGGTAGCTTGTTATTAGTTCCTCTTTGGTAGAATTTATCTGCGAAACAGTCTGATTCTGGGCTCCTCTTTGTTGGAAGGATTTTGCTTGATTAATTTTCTTTATTTGTAATTAGTCTCTTCTGGCTATTTTTTTCTTTAGACCCAATGTTGGTAGGTTGTTTGTAGGAATTTATTTCCTGTAGTTTTCCAGTTTGTTGGTAAATAATTATAATATGGCTTTATGACCATTTTTATTTCTGAGGCTTCAGTTGAAAAGGTAATATATTCTCATTTCTGATTTTATTTATTTGAATCTCTCTCAGTGTGGCTAAGGCTATGTCAACTTTGCTTTTTTCTAAGAATACCTCTAAATTTTTTTTTTCTATAGTTTGATTTATTTCTGCTCTGATCCCTATTTTCTTTTTTTAGCTATCACATAAGGAAGAATTTGAGGTTTAACATGAAAGCACACAAAATTTGTATAAACACAAATCCATATTGAGTCATAACAGATAGCAAACAACAAAGTAAAAACAAAACTAATTGACACTTATTCACAGTTGGACACATTTGTGCCTTGTACACTAGAAAGTCTTTTACAAAATAATCATCTTAGAAGATCAGTCTTCCGTTCCTTACTGCAATATGAGTTTCTTTAGCATCTCCTGTTTTCTCCAGAGCCCTCCTTTAGTAAAGCTATTAATTGTTTTGGTGATTGCCACCCCCTCAATGCCTTGCCTGAAGTGCTCTGTTGACCACTGTAATCTGCATATTCCTATCCATAGTTTCATAATAGTTACTAAATCCTTGGTTCTAGTTTTGGCACTGACCTCTTCTACCAGCTGCAGCACCTCTTTCTCCTTTTTGTTGTTGCTGCCTATATACCTCTTTGGGTTGTGCAACTTTGATTTCACACTTCCCAGTACCAATTTAATTGTATCTGCTTTCCAACAATTTCTTTATTTGGGGAGTGAACCAGCATATGGAAAATCTCCCTAACCCTCCCTCTCCCCCTCTGTAACTCTCTTTCCCACATATAAATCTTAAATAAAAAAAAGAATACATGTAACAGAAGAGCAAAAAGAAATATGTGGTGTATATTGTGGTACAACAGGTTAACCCGTCCTATTGTGACTCCTGCATATTCTAATGGAGTGCCTAAATTTGAGTCACAGCTACTCTGCTTGTGATCCACCTTCTGGGAGACCGCAGATGATGGCTCAAATACATGGCTCCTACCACTAATGTGGGAGACATATTTAGTTCCCTGGCCCATCCCATGCTGTAGGGAGCATTTGGAGGGTGAAACAGCAGGTGGAAGCTGCCTTTGGCACTCTCTCTCCCTTTGAATTACTGTGAAAAGAAGGAAAAGTAAAAAAAAAGATTAACAAGGGCCTGCATTGTGGTACAGTGGATTGAGTCATCACTTGCAACAATAGCAAACCATGTGATCACTGGTTTGAGTCTTGGCTAATTCATTTCCACTCTACCACCCTCCTAAATGCAACTGGTAAATCAGGTGATGATAACCCAAGTACTTGGGACCCTGCAACCACCTTGGGAGACTCAGATGGAGTTCAGACTCCTGGCTCTGGCCTAGGCTGGGCCCATATTCTGGGCGTGAATTAGTGGGTGGAAGATCTGTGTCTGTGTCTGTCGTTCTCTATTGCTCTTGAAAATAAGTAAATAAAACTTTTTAGGACAAACAAAAATAGAGAAAATCTTTGAAACCAACAATGGGTTCTTTGAGGCTATTAACATAATTGATTAGCTGTGTTTCAAAAAGTAACACAGACAACACAATAAATCAAGACATGATAAATATTTTAAGAAACTGCTATGAATAGCTGAATTCTGGGAAATTAGATCGTTCATTTTTATAGCAATGATTTCTGTTTTTCAAAATGGAAATATACCTTTTAGCAGAATAGCAATCACAGATTTTTATGAAGTTTTATTATTGTTTCCTGTCTTTACTGAATTTTTTCCCATCACTTATGGAAGCAGGACTTAACAGCATTTAGAACTATGGCTAAGAAAATATATAATTACTTGAATGCTGTTTTTTTCTTTTCAATTAGGTGTGCTCTTTTTTCATTCCACCAGAAATTTTAAAATTAATGAAATATGTATTCATTTCCTTTTCATTGTAGTTTTAAGAATAGTACTCTGAAATTATTATGAAAATAACAAAGCAAATGTTTGCATCTTGTACTTCAAAAACAATTTTTAAAATTAAACTTTTTGGGGACTGCGCTTTGGCACAGTGGGTTACAACCCTGGCCTGAAGCGCTGGCATCCCATATGGGCGCTGGTTCTAGTCCTGGCTGTTCCACTTCCGATCCAACTTCTGCTATGGCCTGGGAAATCAGTAGGAGATGGCCCAAGTCATTGGGCCCCTGCACCCACGTTTGAGACCTGGAAGAAGCTCCTGGCTCCTGGCTCCTGGCTCCGGATCCGCACAGTTCTGGCCATTGCAGCCATCTGGGGAGTGAACCAGTGGATGGAAGACCTTTCTCTCTGTCTCTGCCTCTCTCTCTGTAACTCTGTCTTTCAAATAAATAAAATAAATCTTTAAGAAAATTATACTTTTTGAATAAGTGTAGTTGTAGAGAATCGCTAGCTAAAGGACAGTCTATATGGAGCAAAACTTTACCTATAACATGAGTTTGTAATTGAAGGTGGATATAATTTAGAGGTGTATAAAAACCTGAATAAGAACGGCAGCATTTTTTTTCCAATTATGAGTATAGGCAATTAGACTATAGTAGTATTAGTGACAACTAACTTCTTCACCAAAGAAGTCAGGGATATTTTTTACCCTGTGTTACTAATGTCTTGAAATTATTTATGTTCATCAGTACTCAAAGTTCTAGGTACTCAATAGACTTACTGCTTTATGTATATTGTTACTTCACTATTTTCAAAAGTCACATATGTTTTGTACCATACATTTGTCCTTTAGTAGTTTGATAACTTTTATATGATCAGCTTATTTCATAATCTCATTTATTTTATGTGTTTTAATCTATTTCTAAAAAACAGAGTTTGTAAGCTTCTTCACATTGCCAATACCTGCTATCACATTTAAGGTTAAAGACCTGTAATCTAGAAACACCATGGGTAAAACAGAGAATTCTCGTATATTAAAGTTTTGTTTTTTTGTTTTTTTTTTTATTTGAGCAGGTGTAGGTAATAGCAGTGAAGGCGGAAGAGGAAAGGCAGGTGCAAAACTTTTCCAAGATTTTCAGATGTTAAGTAGAATCTGGACTCATCCTTGGTGTTTACAGCTGGACTATATTAGCAAAGAAAATAAGGTAAATGAGGTAACCTAAAAATTGTTGAAAAGGTATTTTTTGGAGGTAGTGTATGCTTAGGGAAGAGTTTCTGTTGCTTTTTTGTGTATTCTAAATTTTTTTCTAGTTCATTTCAATATGTCTTGAATGCATTATGATTTCAGGAAGTGTTAAATGTTAATCTTTTATTGAGCCCAGTCTATAAAGCTTAAAATGATTTTACACTTGTGTAAGTTGTAAAAATAGTTCATCAGTTGACCCCGCTTCTCCTAATGTTCACATCTTGCATAATTATAGTAAATTGATCAATACCAAGAAATTTAACTGTGGTATAAAACTATTAACTAAAAATCAAACTTTATTTGGGTCTCATTAATGTTTGTACTTAAGTTTTTTTTCTTTTTCATGATCCATTCCGGGTGCACCACCCCCACCACCATTATATAATAGTCTTATCTGCCATGTCTCTCTAAAATCTATGATAGTTCTTCAGTCCTGCATTATTTCATGTCAATTAACTTATGATTAAGGGAAATAAACATCACTATAATTCCTCATATAAATTGACATAAATTATTAAAACGTGTCTTTTTTTCTGTAGGGATATTTTGATGAAGACAGTATGGATGAATTTATAGCTTCAGATTCAGATGAGACCTCCATGAGTTTAAGCTCCGATGATTATACAAAGTAAATTGAGTACTTTTTGTACCCTGTATTGACACATTTAAAACTCCTTCTTACTCATTGTCCTCTGATGATTGGCATTTGTCTATTTCCTATACTTTCTTACAATCTGAGTTTTCCCCTTTTTTAGAAAGAAGAAAACAAAGGGAAAAAAGGGGAAAAAAGATAGTAGCTCAAGTGGAAGTGGCAGTGACAATGATGTTGAAGTGATTAAAGTATGGAATTCAAGGTCTCGAGGAGGTGGTGACGGAAATGTGGATGAAACAGGAAACAACCCTTCAGTTTCTTTGAAGCTGGAAGAAAGTGAGTCTAAAGAATGTGGCCTTTATACATGATGATTTAGAAAATGTCATGTTATTAGTCCTTTTTTTAGTTATTTGTTGTCTTTACTGGTTGACTCAAAGGAATTTATTTCCTTAATTGATGAGTCTAGGATAATGAGGTACACATCATTACAACAAATATCTGATTTTTTACACTTTAAGGTATAGAAATTGCATGTATTTTCTATAAACAGATTGAGGAATCTTTCAGTTTATACTCATAAGATGAACCTTACACTAAGTAAAGAATTCAACAGATAGTATGGAAAAAAATAACCACTATTCCTCAACAGTAGAGACAAAGGTTCTAACAAATCATTGAGTTTCAAAATGTCAGTTACACTCATAGATTACCTTTTATGTACTGTATTAGTTATTGCATGTCAGAGAAAACATATGATATTTGTCTTTTTGGGACTGGCTTATTTCACTAAGTATAAAGGTGTCTAATTGCATCTATTGTGTTGAAAATGACAGGATTTCATTCCTTTTTACCCATAGTGTATGTATACCTTAGTTTCTTTATCCAGTCACCAATTGATGGACATCTAGGTTAATTCTATATCTTGGCTTTTGTGAATTGACCTGCAATGAACATAGGGGTACAGATAACTCTTTCATATGCTGATCTAATCTGCTTTTAATAACTTCCCATGAATGGTATTGCTGGGTCATATGGTAGGTTTATATTCAGCTTCCTGAGGTATCTCCATACCGTCTTCCATAGTGGCTGTCCCAGTTTACCCTTCCACCAACAGTGATTAGGTTACCCTTTTCTCCACATACTTGCCAGCATATGTTGTTTGTTGATTTCTGTATGAGAGCCATTCTGGGGTGAACTGAAAGCTCATTGTGGTTTTGATTTGTATTTCCCAGATGTCTAGTGATCCTGAACATTTTTTCGTGCATCATAAATAATCATTACTGTGTAACTTTTTTTAAAAGATTTTATTTACTTTTTATTTGAGAGGTAGAGTTATAGACAGTGAGAGGTAGAGACAGAGAAAAAGATCTTCTTTCCAATGATTCACTCTCCAAATGGCTGCAATGGTCAGAACTGCGCTGAACCAAAGCCAGGAGCCAGGGGCTTCTTCCGGGTCTCCCATGCTGTTGCAGGAGCCCAAGGACTTGGGCCATCTTCTACTGTTCAGCAGAGAGCTGGATTGGGAGTGGAGCAACTGGGACTAGAATTGGCGCACATATGGGATGTCAGCGCCGCAGGAGGATGTCCCTGGCCACATTACTGTGTAACTTTAGAAAGAAATCCCTTTCCTGTAGTACATGTAAGAGGGGCCGATGCTGTGGCGCAGTGGGTTAACGCCCTGGCCTGAAGCGCTGGCATCCCATATGGGCGCCGGTTCTAGTCCTGGCTGCTCCTTTTCCGATCCAGCTCTCTGATATGGCCTGGGAAAACAGCTGAAGATGGCCCAAGTCCTTGGCCCCTGTACCCACGTGGGAGACCCAGAGGAAGCTCCTGGCTCTTGGCTTCAGATTGGCGCAGCTCTGGCCATTACAGCCATCTGGGGAGTTTTCCATAGGACGGAAGACCTATCTCTCTCTGCCTCTCCTCTCTCTGTGTAACTCTGACTTTCAAATATACAAATAAATATTTTTTAAAAAAAGTACATGTAAGAAAGACTGAATAAGAAATATTAAGTGGTCATATATTATAGAAGGTATATTAAATAAGTAGATGGCTTGGGTCTGGTGCTGTGGTGTACACATAAAGCTGCCACCTGCAGTGCTGGCATCCCATATGGGCGCCAGTTTGAGTCCTGGCTGCTCCACTTCTGATTCAGCTCTCTGCCATGGCCTGGGAAAGCAGTGGAAGATGGCCTAAGTCTTTTGTGCCCAGAATCCACATGGGAGACCTGGAAGAAGCTCCTGACTCCTGGCTTCACATTGGTACAGCCCTGAACATTGCAACCATTTGGAGAGTGAACCAGCAGATGGAAGACTTTGCTCTGTCTCTGCCTCTGCTTCTTTGTTGCTCTGCCTTTCAAATAAATAAATAAATCTATAATTAAAAATAAGTAAATGACTGAGGTATAATAATATTATTATTTTTTTTTGACAGGCAGAGTGGATAGTGAGAGAGAGAGAGAGAGAAAGGTCTTCCTTTGCCGTTGGTTCACCCAACAATGGCTGCCGTGGCCAGCGCGCTGTAGCTGGCGCACCGCGCTGATCCGATGGCAGGAGCCAGGTGCTTCTCCTGGTCTCCATGCGGGTGCAGGGCCCAAGCACTTGGACCATCCTCCACTGTACTCCCTGGCCACAGCAGAGAGCTGGCCTGGAAGAGCAGCAACCGGGACAGAATCTGGCGCCCCGACCGGGACTAGAACCCGGTGTGCCGGCGCTGCAAGGCGGAGGATTAGCCTAGTGAGCCGCAGCGCCGGCCTATAACATTATTTTACTACATCATTTTCATTTCAAAGAACTCCCGTTTTAATTCTTCAGCATTAACTTTCTGATTTTTCTGAGAAATAGCATTTTAAATAAGTCATTTAAGTTTACCTTACAGTATCCTCATTTCTGTGCTAGTGTTTTATTAAGAGGAAATTTTTCTGTCTATAAATTCCTTCGAAGTATTAGATTTATTATTTATTAGAGTAAGCTTAACTGGTAAACATTTACATTTTAAAGTTTATATAATTTTTCGCATGGGTATTCTGTTAATCACTAATGTACCATATTTATTCATTCAGCAAATATTTGAGTGCTTACATATGCCAGGTACTGTTTTATAAGCTCAGGTTAAATGCATGAACAAAATGCATTCTTGGAGCTTACTATTTGTCTTAGTCCATTTTCTGTTGCTGTAATATAATGCCTGGTACTGGATGCTTTATAAAAAACGAAGTTTGTTTTGGGTTGCAGTTGTGGAGGCTGGGATTTAAAAGATTCGGCAGTTGCATCTAGTGATGGCCTATGCAGTGTCAATTTAAGAGAAGTAGATGTGTGTGAGAAAGGCAAAAGCTGTGGGGTAGCCTTGCTGTATAACAATTGCTGTCCTTGTGACCGGCGCTGTGGTATAATGGGTAATGCAGTGCCGGCATCCCATATGGGCACTGGTTTGAGTCCTGGCTGCTCCACTTCCGAACCAGCTCTCTGCTATAGCCTGGGAGAGCAGTAGAAGATGGCCCAAGTCCTTGGGCCCCTGCACCCATGTGGGAGACCTGGAAGAAGCTCCTAGCTCCTGGATTTGGATTGGCGCAGCTCCGGCCATTACGGCCAATTGGGGAGTGATCCAGCAGAAGGAAGACCTCTCTCTCTGCTTCTCTCTCTGCCTCTTTTTCTGTCTCTTTGTAACTCTGACTTTCAAATAAATAAATAAATCTTTAAAAAAAAATTGCTGTCCTGAGGAAAGCATTCATCCATCTTATAGTGTAATTATCTCTTTTTTTTTTCTTTTTTGCCTGGGAGAGTTAGACAGTGAGAGAGAGGGAGACAGAGAGAAAGGTCTTCCTTCCGTTGGTTCACTCCCCAAATGGCCACCACGGCTGGCGCTACACCGATCCGAAGCCAAGAATCAGGTGTTTCCTCCTGGTCTCCCATGCGGGTGCAGGGCCCAAGGACCTGGGCCTTCCTCCACTGCACTCCTGGGCCACAGCAGAGAGCTGGACTGGAAGAGGAGCAACCGGGACAGAATCTGGCACTGCAGGCAGAGGATTAGCCAAGTGAGCTGCGCTGCCAGCTGTCTCATACCTCTTAAAGTCTCTACTACTGTAGTGCTCTTTTTTTTTTTCTTTTGCATATTTGAAAGGCAGAGACAGAGTGAGAGCAATCTCCCATGGACTGTTTTGTTCTTCAAATGCACGTCATAATTGGGGCTGAGCCAGGCCAAAACTGGGAGTTGGGTATTCAGTCTGGGTCCCTCCCATGTGTAACTGGGCTCCAACCACTTAGCCATCACCAGCTGTTTGCACATTAGCAGTAAGCTAGCATAGGGAATGTAGCTGGTACTCAAACCCAGGTATTCTGAAAAGACATGTAGACATTGCAAGTGTTGTCTTAACCACTGTGCCAAATACCTGCCCCTACCATATCTCAACAAAAAATGTTGTTTCGAATCAAATTTCTCCCATTTCAGACGTTACAAACCACAGCGCTATTCTGTCTAGTATACGTACACTTAATATGTTTTTTTTTAAAATATTTTATTTATTTATTTATTTTGAAAGTCAGAGTTACACATAGAGAGGAGGTGGGGGGCGGGCAGTCCTCCATCCGCTGTGTCACTCCCCAATTGGCCACAACAGCCGGAGCTGTGCCTGTTCAAAGCCAGGAGCTTCTTCCAGGTCTCCCTCGTGGGTGCCGGGGCCCAAGCAAGTTGGCGGCTGTGCCGCAGTGCCGGCCCCACACTTAATGCTTTTAATGATTGGATAGTTTCTTTTTAAATCTACAGTGTTTCTTGTCAATGCAATAACAGATCATTTATTTACTTAAAATACATCAAGTATTTAAGGATGAAGGTATATAAGGTATTTCAACAGTTGTAGAAAGTAGAACTGAAAAATAAATTCATTTTGATACAAAAAACTTTTGAAATCCAAATTTATTTTGATAGAAATCCAAGTGAAAAGTTTTATGAAAAGACTAAACAGGGATTTGAAACTTTTTTGCACCAAAATGGACTTTATCTTTTATTTTTTTATGAACTTTTTAAAGCCCTGTCTTACTTTTCTATTTGTTTTTACTTTCTTTTTAAAAATTTATTTATTTATTTTAAAAGGCAAAATTAGAGAGGGTGAAATAGAAAGAGAGATCGAGAGAGCACGTGCTTCCATCTACTGATTCATTCCCTAAATGGCTTCAATGGTCAGGGCTAGGCTAGGATAAAGCCAGGAACCTACAACCTTAACTGGGTCTTCCACATGGGTGCAGAGGCCCAGAACCTTATGGCACCTTCTGCTGATTTCCAGGCTAATTAGCAGGGAGCTGGATTGGAAGTGATATATTCGAGACTCCAGCCAGTGCCCA